CTGACGAAGAGAGGAACCCTGATGACTTAGTGTTAATCTCTAAGTTGACTGAAGTCGAGAAAAGTCTTGTCGTGACCGATTCCACCGAGGCCCCTCCAGCAAAGAAGTCGAGGTCTGTCGGCCCTAGTGGTGAAAGAGACGTCCTCCTTGAGAACGCTTGGCTTTCCAAGATCTGAGTGGGTGATCGACTTCTAAAAGTTGGCGATAGTGCAATCAAAGATGTTGAAGTCAGAGCCATGTTGACCACGAGCCTCCTTCTACCTGCCAACATGGACGAGATTAGCGATTATAATCACACTTTGCCATGATAATGAGGCATTCAGTCTTGGTAATGTTCTTTTATCCATACTCCTTTCAAATTTTATCTTTTATACTTAGTGAAATGTTTACTAATTCACTTCTCCTTGTGCAGGCCATCTAGCATGCGCACTCTCATGCAGTCAAGGCCGAGTTGGTAAAGAAGGACTTGATCAAAAAGATGCAAGAGATTGCAGACTTTCTCTCCTAACGCAACATGGCTGAGGCTAAGATTGAGAGCCTGATGCATCGTCTGAATCCTACCTAAGTCTGACTTAGATATCCATGACTAAGGTCATCGTGTTTAACTTGTCTAAACAAAACACTTAAGGCTTAACCTTAGTGCACCGAGAGTACTATCTACCTCGGCTTTTCATACAAACTAGCCAAATCGTGGCTGGTTTTGCCTTGTTTCTTATTGAAACATCTCTTTAACTTAGTTCAAATTTTCCATCATTGCAAGTCTAGGTTAATAGTCTTGTTCACCTAAGGAACATCAACTTAAGACTTTCCAGTCTTATCTAGCAGTTATGAACAATATTTTGTAAAGAACAAAATTGAACTAGTATTTTGTTAATACTTTGAAAAAACCATCTAGATTACATATCAAAAACTTAACAGATTAATGATAAAAGAATTTCAAGTTATTGTTATTCTATGGTCTTGGCAATTCCTTGCCATCACTGTCTTCTAGCGCCATTGCCGGTGACCGAGATGATTCTGTATGGTCTTTCCTAGTTTGGGCCAAGCTTACCCTTCTTGGATCTTTTTTGTTGCCAACAACTTTTCTTAGGACGCGGTTCCTAATTTGGAACTCCCGAGGGTTCACTTTCTTGTTGTATACCCTTGCAAGTCTCTGCTGGTATGTCCTTAGTCGAATTGCTGCTCTTTCTCTCATTTCTTCAATCAAGTCCAAATCTCAAGCAACGAATGTCTTGTTGGTTCCATTCTCTACTCCTTGGGTTCTGACTTAAAGAATGCCGATCTCTAGAAGTATAACGGCCTCGGTGCCATAAGCCATGGCAAAGGGAGATTCTTCAGTAGATCTTCTCGGTATAGTACGATATGCCCGTAAAACATTAGACAACTCCTCTACCCACTTGCCCTTGGCAGCTTCTAATCTCTTCTTTATTCCATCTAGGATGATCTTGTTAGAGGCCTCAGCTTGGCCATTACTTTGAGGGAAACTGGGAGTTGAGCAGTAGTTCTTGATCTTGTATTTCGTGCAGAAGTTCTTGATCAACTTGCTGTTAAACTGGGTGCCATTGTCTGCCATAATGGCTCTTGGAATCCCAATTCTGGTAATAATATTCTTCTAGATGAAATTCCTGACATCCATATCTTGGATTTTGGCCAGAGGTTCAACCTCCACTCATTTTGTAAAATAGTTTGTGGCTATTAGTAAGAACTTTCTTTGTCCAGTTGCCTTGGGCAATTGCCCAATCAGATCCATGCCCCACTGGGAAAATAGCCAAGGACTGGATACTAGGTTAAGGTCTCTAGCTAGCTAATATATCAAGGGAGCAAACTATTGACACTTTTCGCACTTCCTAACATAAGTTTCGGCGTTCTTTTGCATGTAAGGCCACCAATACCCTTGTGATATGACTCTATGGGCAAGAGATCTACCCCAAGCATAACTTCCACAAACTCCTTCATGGATCTCATACAAGAAATCTTTCAACTGGAAAGGATGCACACATCGCAGCAAGGGTCTAATGAAGGACCTTCTATACAAATGGCCTTCTACCGACAAGTAGAATCTGGCCGACTTAAGTCTGATCTTGTGTGCCTTCTTTTTGTCTTCTGGCAGTTGGCCATCTCTGATAAACTTGACCAAGGCATCTATCCAGCTTAGCCCCAGCTTTATGCATATTGCTTCATATTCTATTATTAAGGGTTCTACGCTTGGGTCTGATAGATAGTCTACCATAATTGTTCTTGGTGTGTCCGACTTTATGGCATTGGCAAGGTTAGTCAAGGCATCTACATGGTTGTTATCTTCTCGGTAGACCTACTGTAGTTGAGAAATCTAAAACTGTGCTAGTAGCTTGATGACCTCTCTGGTATAGGCCACCATCATCTCATCTCGAGCTATATATTTTTTCGTCGTTTGGTTCACGATGCGTTGGGAGTCATAATAGACTACCATCTCCTCGGCCTCAACAGCTGCTGCTAATTTCAATCCGGCAATCAGTGCCTCATACTCTGCTTCATTATTTGAGGCCTTGAACCCCAATCAGATTGATTGTTCTATCATCTGTCCATTTGGTGAGACCAACACTACTCCTACCCTCGCTCTTTGTTAGTTTGAACTGCCATCGACAAAAAGACAGAAAGACTCGCCGATGTAGATGTCACAAGGCTTCGGTTTCTCTTGATCTTTTTTCTATCTTGCTGGTGTGGAGTTCTGTGGTGCTAGCTGTGCTTCTTCTAGTTCTTTTGCGCACCCTAGGCCGAGGTTTACAAGTCTTGGCTTCGGGTATGCGCTGGGTGTGATCTCAGAAACAAAATCGGCCAAAACATAACCTTTGATTGTTGTTCTTAGTCTGTATTCTATGTCATATTAACCTAGAACCATAGCCCACCGTGTTACTCTGTATGTCAAATCCCCATATTGTAGTAACGACTTTAATGGGTGCTTCGTGAGTACCACCATCTTGTGAGCTTAAAAGTAATGGTTCAGTTTCTTTGATGTCATTGCCAAGGCAAGTGTTAGTTTTTCCAGAGGTACATACCTCATTTCTGCACTTGCTAGGGTCTTGCTCATGTAATACACCGCCTTATGCTCTCATTCTTCTTCTCGGACAACCACGACACTAACAGCGTAGTCTGAGACTATCAAATACAGAAATAATTCTTTTTTTGGAACTGGACTTGACAATACTGGTGGGGTTGTCAAATACTTCTTCAAGTCAGCCAAGGCGACTTCACATTCATTTGTCCATAGAAAATATGTGATCTTCTTCAGTAACTAGAAGGGTTTGCACTTGTTCGAACTCTAACTGATGAATCTATTCAATACAGTTGCCTTACTGATCAAAAGTGGGACTTCTTTTTCTATCGTCAGGCTCTTCAGGTTAAGAACGACCTTGATCTGATTGGGGCTTGCCTTAATTCCTCTCTTGGTCACCAGATATCCTAAGAATTTATTAGAACCCGTCTCGAAAGTGCACTTGGAGGCATTTAGATGAAGCCGATATGCTTTCAAGATCTCAAAAACCTCATTCAGATTGGCTAGATGATCTGAAGGTTCCTTACTCTTCACGACCATATAGTCGATGTAGACCTCCACGGTCTTCCCAATCAAATGTTTGAACATCTTCATCACTAGCCTTCGGTATATTGCCCCTCCATTCTTTAATTCGAAAGGTATCACTCTGTAGCAATAGAGTCCCTTTGGAGCGATGAATACTGTATTCTCTTCGTCGGGTGTGTACATGGCTATATGATAATAGTCTCAGTATGCATAGCAGAAGCTCATCCTTTCATGGCCAAATGTAGCATCCACAAGCTGGTCTATCTTTGGCAAAGGGAAACAGTCTTTCAAGTAAGTCTTATTCAGGCTTGTGAAGTCCACACAAACCCTCAACGTGTCATTCTTCTTTTTTACTACCACTGTGTTGGACAACCACGTTGGTTAGTTTACTTCTTGGATTGTAGCTTCTCTACTTCCTCTTCAACTACTTGTACATGGACCAAGGTTGGTTGCCTATCTCTCAGGATCATAGGTTTGGCCGACCTATCTATGTTGAGCTTGTAACAGGTGTCCTTGGGACTGATCCTCGGCATCTCGTATGGTGTCCAAGCGAACGCCTTTATATTCTCTCTCAAAAAAGCTTTCAATTTTCTTTCTTCTTCCTTGTCTAATCCCGAGCCAAGGAAGAAGAATCGTTTTTTTTCCCTTTCATGTATTAGAACCTTTTTCAAAGGCTCTTCGCTTTTGTCAGCGGGTTCTTTGCCGTTATCGTCCAAGACCTCCTGGTCTTTGTCTTTTATCTCTATCATCTCTATTTCTCTAACAACACATATGTACTTCATTGCTGCCATGGAGCAATTCTTTGCCTACATTGGTCTCCTCTCACTTCCTCAACCCCAAACTCAGTTGGGAACCGCAATAGTTGGTGCAGGGTTGAAGGAACAACCCTCATAGCATACAACTAAGGTCTCCCCAAGATGATGTTATATGGGAAATGGATGTCTATCACTGTAAACTTTATGGTTACCGACTTGGTTCCTGCCTAAACCTCCAGATTAGTGGTGCCCAATAGCCACATCGTGGTCCCATTAAATCCAACCATGGGGCTATCAAATTGCTACAAATTGTCCTTGTGAAGGCCAAGCTCCTTGTAATATCTGACATACATGATGTCACAGGAGCTACCTTAGTCTATTAATATTCGCCTTACCTGTCAGTCTCCAACATTCAGAGTCACTATAAGAGCATTATTGTGCGGATGTTGTACCATATCTAGGTCTTTTTCTGTGAACAAAGTTGTCGGCCCCCGATGTCCCTCTATGCGAGGCTTCTTTTGTTGGACTTGGTAAACATGCTGCCGATGCCTTACCCTCTGTGTCTCTCCCTAGATCTCGTTCTCATTGACCTTCGTGTGGTTCACGTTAGTAACCCATGGTCCATTTTCCTATGCTGGCGGGGGTGGTGGTGCTGCTTCTGGCGCCTGGGCCAATTTTGCCTATTCTTCTTATGTTTTTGCTTCGTCTATCAAGTCTCTCAGGTGTCCCTGTTTGACCAGATCCTCCAGGTGTTGTTTCAAGGCCCTGCACCCTAGAGTCATGTGCTCATTCTTATCATGGTAGGCAAAATTCTTCCCGACGTTCCTGTCCATGTACTCCCCCAAGGTTTTTTGCAGTGCCCTAAAGTATGGCTGATTTTTTATCCTTTCCAAGACCCTATAAATGGGGATCTTGAAAACTATGCTTACGGCCTGCATAGCCTTCAACCCTGGCTCCGGTCTGTCGGTGCCAATATTGCCTCGACTACACTTGGGTGAGCCATTTCTCTTCTCCTGCTTTATTGTACCCGTCTTCTTTGCTTTCCTGTTTTCTTCTGCCCTCGCGTACTTCTCAATCCTTACCATGAGCTTCTCCATGTTCTTTGGAAGGGTCTTTTTAAGGGATTGTCGAAGCGGGCAATCATCTTTTAAGCCGTTCTTGAAAGACACGATTGCAAGTTTCTGGTTACAAGATGGGATCCAGTTGTAAACCTCGTAGTACCTCTTGGCAGAAACCCTAAGGCCTTCGCCATCGTTTATCTTCCAAGCCAATAGGAAACCTACCCTTAGTGGCTGTAATCTGTTTGTAACAAACCTAGCCACAAACATCTCGACCAGGCCTTCCCAGCTCTTCACACATCCCTTCGGTAATTTGAGAAACCAATCCGACGCTATTTTCCCAAATGTCAATTGAAACAACTTGCATAAGAATTGTTCATTCCCACTCCACAAAGTCATCCCATTCAAATACAAACCAACATGGAAGTTTGGTTTTGACTTACCATCATAGATTTGGAATCTTGGTATGCTGAATCCCTTCGGTGCTTCGAACGTATCCAACTCCACCAAGAATGGTGTCTTCAGCCGGGCGATGGATGTGATCTCGGCGTTCTACCTTTTCCTTTAGAGGTAATCTCTTAAATCTTCTTTCGACCGTCTAGGAGCTCAGCTATTGGCCGACTTCAGCATCTTCAGTATGTTGCTTCCTATATTGGGATGCGACCTTTTGGACCACTCTATGTAAGAACCTAAATTTTTGGACAACTAATTAGTTTGTTAATAACAATATTAAGTCAATTAATAGTGATTATTAAATTATTAAATTATAATGTTAATAGTATCATGATTAATACCAATATTAAATTCCTTTTAATAAATTTATTTATCTTTCTGTGATTAAATTTCTGTATCTAAATACAGTTGTGGAAACTAAATAAGTTAAATAAATAGTAACTAAATTAGTTAGAGAATAGTAGAGAGCAAAATATCTAGTGACTAGGTTATATATATACATTAATTTTTATTTTTTGTACACACACTCAAAAAAAAAGAAAAAAAGAAGAAGATGAAATCAGACCTTTTTTTAGGGCAGGGGAATTCGGCCACCCTTTCTAGGAAGGAGACTGCTAAGAGCGAGCATGCTAAGGCATGCATACAACCACACCCTAAGCCTATACATGTAGGTAATATTTCCCAAGCCAAGAGGGGAAAAAATAAATAAATAAAATAAAAATAGGCCTCCAAACTCCTACAAATAGAACACTATTTCAGCCCTTTTCATTTCTATACACACGGCTGAGGAAAAAGAAAACAAGAGGAGAAAAGAAACGAAAAAGAGAGGAAGAAGAGAGCGTGCTTGGTGGTCACCATCTCAAAACTAATCTTGAGAATAGTTTGTAAAAGCTCTTGAGGTAGGAATACTCAACCTCTATCCTCCCTTAGATATTTTTTTTATTGAATCTATATATTAAAAATATGCAAGAGTGTGCATTGTTAATCCACACATAGCAAGAATAGCTCAATGCATGTTTATATTTTGATTGAATAATAATTTCATGATTATATGATTTCTATTCCTTCTTGCAAACATAGATTAGATGGTTTAGCTACTGATTTTATCTTCTTATGTGTTCAAATATTCTCCATTGTGTGAAATAATCTTTCATGGGGATAAGATGAGATAAGGTTGGTTCACTTTTACTCGAAACTTATATTTTCTTCACTATCTCAGATTTTATCGGAGGTAAAATGCTTTAATAAATTGAAAATAACTTGTGTCAAAAATTTGTTGGTACTGGGAGTATATATAGGTATTCTATACATGTTTAAATTTTTATAAAATCATTGGACACCATTTTCTTACCGAAGTAAATATTTGTCCCAAGTGTTGTTCACAACACAGTAGAAACAATGAATTCAAATGGGTCTCATTTTCTCTGCAAATGGTATTTTCTATACGATCACTTGGGATAGTTAGATATAAGAGCTATCTTTCATTTGCCACCGATTTCACAAAAAATGGATAAGTCTAAAAAGAGAAATTGTTGTTTTACTAAAATGCAACAGAATCAGTCCTATTTTCTTAGCAAAATTATTTGACCATCTTCCATTAGTTTTCAGTCTTCAAACTCTTCTGGAAATATGTTCTAAACTCAAATATCTAACAAGAAGTTCTGACCATACCTCTTTTTGACACCGTTTGATGCCCCTTTTTATTTTTCAAACACAGATCACCTATACTGGAAGTTACTGTAACTCACTGTCCTAGAAACCAGTTTTTTTCCAAATTTTATTTCTCTATTTTAAAATCATTTTTAGCCATGGTATCCTCATGAAATATTTTCCTAACTCAATGAACTAGCACTAGTTAAAATATTGTAATAATTGAATTTCGTTTGATATGGGTTTCATTATTTTTAGTCTGACCATACAGTGCTGAAAAGAAGAAGCATGAGAAATTCATTGAAATTTTGTGATGACTCCTAAGACATTCTATAAAATTTATTTTGGTTTTCATACATGATTATGTTGTGATATACAAGCCTTATGTCACTGTGGTTTGCGAACTAAAACTCGAATATGCATCAAAATGTGAATTCGATGAAGTAAAGAAACACGAAATTGAACTAATGCATTAAAGTTTAAAAGTGATAGGTGAGCCCAATTTAGGGTCTTGCGCAAGTGAGTTGCGAACCCTAACATGGCACAGGAAGGTATTCCGGCTCTTATCGGTATAGGCAATATAAGGTTGGTGGTGCGAGTGTCACAACATAGACTGTTCCCTTGGGACAGACCGTGATGTCACGACTCGGGTACGTAACCCTGGTGCGTGAGCATCATTGGTAGTTACAGCAAGTGACATTTGAATATTTGACCAAAGGGGAGTCAGAATTGCCCGTGGCCATTGCTTAGCGGTTGAGTGGAAATAGTGCTCTGTGAGGAGTTACTTAGACTTACCTAATAAACTAAACTTATGTGAATTTAAAAGAAAAGTTGACATTTTCCTTATGATGAATTGCTGCTTCCGCTTTCCATTGTTCTTATTATCTATTGTTATTATTTCAACTGATAACATTCATGTTATGCTTATTAAACGCTGCTTGTTACTCTATTACTACACATTATTCATTAATTGTGAGTATTGTTATCGGGGTGGTAATTTCGGATTGTAGTATCTTATTGAGCTCTTCACTTATTGGCATTCCCATTGCCCTGGCGTTTTATGCCAGGTACTGAAGAAACCAAAGGAAACACCGAGGTCTTGGAAGGCAACATTCAACCTTAGTTAACTTGAAGTGTGCCCAAGTTCCATGAACTCCTTTTTTTGAATTTTTTTTTCTAGTTTTTCTCTAGTTTTTTTTTTTTGTGTGTGTGTCTTTCTTTCATGTACTAAGACTAAGTCTTAAGTTTTATTGGAGTTGTAAGTTAAGAACTTTCAATTTATGTGTTGTTAATTAATGGATGATGGTAAACTTAGTGGCAACATTGACGAGGAGTTCCTAATTAAGAAAATTGGTTTTAAGTTCTAAACCTTATTATGATGTTCTTAAATTTTGAGGCATCACAACTTAGTATCAGAGCATAGGTTGAGAAACCCTTGAGACCTTGAGGAACCGTAAGCCTGCTTGTTAAATAACTTATTAGTGGTTATAGTGAGCATTTTTAGTTACTAAGTAAAATTTTGATTTTTGTAGATAGCAAACGAAAATCAAAATAAATGGTTGGAGGAGGAACCTGAGATGTTAGAAGAACCTATTGATTGGGAGGAGGATCCAAAGGAGGATCAAGAAGAGGAGCAAGAAGAGAACTTGGAAGAAGAATTCGAAATAGGAGCTGAAGGTAATTCTGATTCTGAGTCTAACTCTGATTAGGAAATAGAGAATTCTGATCCTGAATGCTCGATAGAGGATGGCCCTGAGGCGGCCTTGAGACACATGAAGGTGCTGCCCGTCCTTCCGTACGGGAATGTAGTGTTTGTAAAGGTTACCCCTACTAGGATGTGCTATTGGAGAAGCTCTCCTAGAATGGACATGTTTATTGGGCCAGTCCAGATAAGAGAATATATGGACAATAATTTCTATCGAGTATGGAACCTACCACCATAATACGTCGCAAACAAGGGTGATGCATTTCTTCTCCAAGATATCCGGACTACCTAACCTCTTTTCGGTTATGTTGTCTAAACCCTAGACCCATTGGTGAATTTTTATAGAGCTGCCACATGTCATGAGATCCCCACTTCCATGATTAGGCGAATGGTGTGTCAGAATGGGATACGGATAGTCCTTGTCCGCTGGGAGTGTTATGGGTTACCCGATGAGGCATGGGAGTTAGAGGAGATAGTGCGTCAACGTTGTGCCCATTTGCTTGATTAGGATATGACAAGTGTAAAAATTAGGACAACAACAAATTTTGTAATACTTAATTGTAATAGTCCTAGTTTCTAACTTAGGGTTTTTGGCGGATGTGCCGGAATAAGATGGGAAGGAGTAGAATGATATTTTTTTTCTTTTATTTCTTTTATGAATGTACTGATATTCTATTATTATTAATGAAATCCTAGTATTTAAAGATTTCTGTGTTCAACTAGCACTGTGTTACATGCATTTTATCAACAAATAAATAAATAAATAAATGGTGTAACAACAATATCCTTCGTACAGAAAATGGCAAGAAGAACTAGGGCAAATGGATCCAATGACAACAACAACAACAACAGTGACATTATGAATTTCGTTCGGACAATTACTAATGAACTAAGAAACCAACCCAGGCGTGAAAACAACAAAGCAGAATTAATAGCAAAATTTCAAAAACTCAATACCCAAATTTTTTTCGGAGAACCCAATCCCTACACAGCTGAGGCATGGATAAGGCAAATGAAGAAAATATTAGAGAAGCTAGAGATTCAGAACGAGCATGACTAAGTGTCCCTCACCTCATTTCTCTTCGAAGGGGAGGCCGATTTTTGGTGGACAATGATTAAGGAAAGTCATCAAGTAGCAGAACTATCTTGAAGACAGTTCGAGGAATTGTTTATGGAAAAGTACTTCCCAAAATCGGTAAGGCAGGAGATGATCCAAGAATTTCTCCAACTGAAACAAAAGGGCATGACTGTGACACAGTATGCCAATCAATTTGAGGCCCTTTCTCGCCATGCAACAGCTATAGTGGTAAATGAAACAGCCAAAGAAAGGCGCTTTGAGTGGAGACTTGACTCGGGAATTCGAGACAAGTTGGTTGCAGTGCAACTACCTACTTATGCACAGGTAGTAAATAGGGCTCTTACTTTAGAAAGAGAGAAGATGGACACTGTCAGAACTCAAAGTTAGCAGTCCAGAGCCAACCAGCAAAGAAGTGGAGGATCCTCAAGGAACAATAGGACCCTGCTACTTCGGTAGCCTATGCTAAGGGGGCCACAACAACAACAAGAGTACAATCTTGAACACGTGGTAGGA